GGAAGATCTCAGTGCTTCTTTTTGTTAACAACAGCATGCAGCTTTATAAATGATTCTCATTACGAATTTGGGATGATGTTTGTCGCACGTATCACATTGTCACATGCCTTTTCACAAAAAAAAATTCACAAAAATGTTACTGAGCAACTGACGAGTAACATAGTTTCAGCACAGATTTTCCTCGCACTTTAAACCCTGGCACCGCGAGCTCGTGCAGCGCTGTCAGAATACATGCAATTCGTGCGTGGATTAGAAAATATAACATTCTGCAGTTTATTTACTAATCTTTTGAGGCGATTTCAATCATCATACCTAACCACCAGCATTAGCCAGCTCTTCTTCTCATCGGAGACGGGATGCAGCACTAAACAGTCTCTCGCTGTCGGTGCTTCATGCCTGTAATGATTTCTGCGTCTTTCTCTGATAGTTTTAAATACTTTCACACTGCCGACATGTTTACTGCATTAGTGCGTGCCTCTATTTGATCGCGTTAGTCATTGTTTGGTACATATTATTCGGCCTTTTCGCTTATTCGGCCGAACACCGAAAGAGATTTTTTTTTACTATTTCCGGCCGAATAATTTCGGTTGCCGAACATTCGGTGCATCCCTACATTTATGTGGAAACAGTATTTTTCCTGTTTGACAGTACGTGGATACAGAAAGAAACGTTATTCTGTAATTATGCCATATATTTGTGAATATGTACAAAATGACTTTACTTTTAGAAGGTTGTTGACTTTTCAAAGAAAATTCATGTTGGTCAAAATTGAGAAAGTGTACAACAGAAATAACTTGCACTGCTGTGTTTTTTACATCTTGTTTTTGCCAATAAAAAAATATTGAAATATGTGAAATCAGTTTTGTTAGTTAAATTTTTTTTTTTAAGTTCAATCACTTAACCATAAGCAAACAGTATTTTTCTACAGCCAATTGTAGAGCAGGGAAGCGCTTTGAAGTTTCAGCTATTTGTGAATAAGTGTAATTAATAGGTAACAGTTTTGAAAAGCTAAAAAATACATAGGCTTAATTTGTATACTGTGGTATAATTAATTTCTACAGATTATGGTAAATGGCTTTACTGGTATATGGATACATCATAAAACATCATTACTTTTACACTAGACACTTCATAATACAGGCAGGGTAACTTCTCTAGAATTAGCTATTGTTAACCTTCACGTTCAAATCAAACTAGGGAATGACAAGAATCACATTTTCTTATGATTTCTTTATGAAAATGATAGTCTTTAATACATGACCTGTGTTATAAAGTTATGTTTAAAACTTGTTTGTCTTATAAAGTCTGAAGGGTAATAGCCTGTCTAATGATGATACACAGATACTATAATAAGCACAATAGTTTGCAGAGTCTGTTTAGATTACACTTGCTTGGCTTTCAAGTCACAAAAGTGCTTTCACTAGCATGCATTAAAAATGCATGATAGATACTATTTCACGTAATAGAACTCTTATTCAATAGTTTTTTTTTTGTTTTTATATAAATTACCAGACTAGCTAACGTTGCAAGTCTTTTTGTGGTCCAGTCATTAAAATAAATACCAAACTTCAAATATGAATTTTTGTCATTAATTTATGATTATTTATTTTACATTTTTGCTTGTGCATCTGCGCCAGGCCCGGCTCCAGACATGAGATGAAGGGTGGGCCAAGTGATATTCCAGGTGGGCCGGGGGGGATTTTAAATTTTTAGCATCATTACTCCAGTCACATGATCCTTCAGAAATCATTCTAATACTCTGAATTGCTGCTCAAAAAAAACATTTATTATTATTATTATTATTATTATGTTGAAAACAGCTGAGTATAATTTTTTCAGGTTTATTTGATGAATAGAAAATTCAGAAGAACAGCATTTATCTGAAATAGAAATCTCCTTGCTAAATAAAAGTATTAATTTCTATACTTTCTCCCCCTCCCCTGACTCCAAGCTTTTGAATGGTATAATGTATAAAAGCTTTTTATTTCAGATAAATGCTGATCTGCCATAAAAATCACATCACTTTGGCAAGTCATCGCAATACATAAACCTCGTCGACATAAGTCTAAAATCAGCTTAGCATGGATAAAAGACTTATGTGTGGTGCCTACTTTCCAAAATAATTTCAAGTTGTTTCCAAGAATCAGTCTGTACATATAAGTGCAAATTAAATACATAAATAAATAAACCCTCATAAAAGCAGATCTGATAAAACATAAAGAACTTGTAATATGCAATTCCTGTATTATACAGTCAACTGTTAAATGACAGTCACAATGTGGAAATATATCTTCTATTATAACTGGAATAATAAAGTGCATTGCCTAGGCACAGGTTAGTTAATACGCCTGCTGGTAAATTCCTGTACCTGACAATACAATCATATGCCACTAGATGGCAACATTGAACTACCTATAAATGTACTCCACCAATATGATGAAAGGGGATTTTGCCCTTGAGAATTATAGGATGATGTTGTTAGCTTGCAACAAATATAATAAATGATAATCTGACACTGGATACTAAGTCTGATTCTAATCAGAATATCTTTTCAAGTGATACCTTTTGAATGCTGGAAAAAAAAACATAAATTACTGGTCCCGGATAATTCTGCATCATTCATAGAATTGCAAAAAAATTCAAAGTGATGATGTTTCAAGAATTACATGGTGACTTTGTGATTTCAGTTCATAACTGTGTGTTATGAAATCATATAATGTTAATGTTAACCAACTTGTCTGAGCCTTTTAATCTGGTTACTGTACAGTACAATTAAAAGCCACATGATGTTTTCAAAATTGACCTTTCCAGCAGCAATGATAAACCAATAATCACGCTATAGAGCACAATTAACCACACAAACAAAGGAAAAATCATTAGCGTAAGACACATAACTCTAAAATAATGGCATGACATATAATCAAACACCCCAGCGTACAAAATAATATTTATTAAAATCTAAACAAATGTTTGGTCAAGGAATTTTGGGAACGCAAAAGACAATACATATATGGTCTTACTGAATATAATACACAATTCATATTTTTTTTACTTCTAAATACATTGACAGTAAATATATATAATTTCCATTGAAATATATTTTACCATATATGGTTAAGTGTCTTGTCTTACAGTACACCAATTCACAGCATTTTCACATTTTTTGCCTTTAAAATTGCGAATTTCACAAGGTAGCTGAGCTCAGCTTGAGAGACCAGCTAAAACCAGTTAAAACTAGCAAGATGACAAATAATAATCATAAATAAAAGTTATTTATACCCTGATTTTTATTTATTTATTTTTGTTCCCCCATGAACCATTTGTCATGTTCGGACTATACGCCTTTGCTTTACCTACATGCAATGAAGAACGCATCTCATGGCTGTAGTAAAAGCGGAACATGATTCAGCCCTTCGTCCGCGCAGGGGAGGGAAGACCCTCGCAGAATTGTGAATCACACGCACTGGATCCCGCTCCTCCCTCAAAATGATGTTACTACTATAAGAAAGAAAGACGAGTGATTCTCCGAGGCGAGGAGACCCTCCCTCGGGCTGACGTCAGTCACTCGCATAAATAAGGGATCTGTCTCATCACCGATCATAAGCGAAACCCTCAGCGGAAGAATAACGGCGTTAAAAGGAATAACTGGAATTTTGACATTAAACGGGAGACGTTGTAGCCGCGATCACATGTAAGTATCGTTTTGACATGTTTTCATATCTTCTCAACTCCTCTAGGTATTTAATATTATAGGTACGTTTATACTAAAGTGTCATTATACAGTACAGTTGTTATAATACAGTTTCACACAGACAGGTTTGGAGTCATGACTTTGAACAAAGGAGACAAGTTGAGGAACATGGACAAGAGGAGAGGTAGCATGCCGTTTCCCCTGCATTTGCAGAACTTGCACAGGAGGAGCATGCCTGTGGACGACCGAGAGCTGCGCTCGATGCCCGAGGCTCAGCCCTGCCTCCTGCGCTTCAGTCCGGCGGAGGAGCACAGGAACAGCTGCGTGTCCGACTCCTCCGACTCCGTCATCTCGTCCGGCAGCGACTCAGACGGACAGGTCTACAAGGTGGTCCTCCTGGGCGAGCACGG